ACTCAAGTTGTTTTTATATCTTTTATTTAATTAATTATTTTTTAATTTTATCATTCAACATTGGATTAGTTGGAAATTGAGCTTTATAATCTATTTTGATTTGCTTTTTATGAGAATATCTTAATCTTAAAATCAAGGTCATAGATTTTAGCATTTAAACCATGATTAAATCGAGTTGTTTTTTTTTTTTTCTTTCTAAGAGATTATATTGGTTTTATTATCTGGGTCATAAGTCATTCAACATTGAACTTGCTTTTAATTACATTATTTCTATTTCATGGTTTGGGTTGTAGGTTAACATAATTGACTCATTTTTTATCTCTTCTTTTCAATTGATTTTTTTCTCCAATTTCATCAATTAATATTGTATTTAATTAGAAATTAAGCTTCATAATTTGTTTTGGTTTGTTTTTCATTAAATTATCTTGGTCTAATAACATGGTAATAGTGCGGTAATAGTGCTTAACAGTTAAGTCAAGTTAAATTTTTAATAAAGATTTTTACAAATTTTATCATTCAACATTAGATCTGATAGGGATAATTGAGAATCAAACTTTATAATTTGTTTTGACTTTCTCTCTATGGAATTACCCTAGTCTCAAGACCAAACCACTAATTTGGTAAATTAACTTGGGTTAAATTAGCTCATTTTTTTATTTTTTTATAAGATTATCTTAGTTTGATAGCTAGGGTCATAGATTTGGTGGACTAACTCAAGTTTTTTTTTTTATGTATTTTTTTTAATTAAATTTTTTAATTTTATCTTTTAATATTGAACTGGTTAGAGATTGAAATTTGTATTTTTTTTTGCTTTTTATTGGGTTATTTTAGTCTTATAACCCGGGTTATAAATTTAACATGTTAAATCAGGTTTTTTTATAGATTATTTTTTAATTGATTATTTTTTCAACTTCATCCTTCAATATTAGATTAATTAGAAATTAGACTTAATAATTTATTTTGTTATACTTTTTATAGGGTTATCATAACTTCATGACTCAGGTTATGAATTTGATATATTAATTTAGATTGTTCAACATTAATCTAATATATTATTATTTTAATATTAAAAAAGTATCATATTGAAATTTTGTTTAGTCAAAAAATTTTCATAGATTGTATGAGTTATTTTTGAACTAATAAAGTTAACTGAGTTATATCAGGTAAATCATCACATTATTGATTTTTTTTACTAAAAAAACATTAATAACATTTAAATATTTTTTTATATTAAAAAATTAAATTTAACTCAAAATATAACATAGGGTCAATCATCTAATACTAACTAATTCATTTCCTTTCTTCGGAGGTCTTCGATATTTTTGTGTCATAAACACTCACTTTCCTCATTTTAGAGTTCGTTTTCAATCACTCTGGGGTTTACATAAAATCTTTCACCTACAGGACAAAACCTTAGTTTTAGAAGTTTAGAGATTTCTGCTTTTTGCCCCCCATGAAAGGATCAAATGTTGCTTGGAAGACAATAATTGTATGTGTATATATATATTAAGAGAGTAATTAATTTTGTATCATTTTGATATTAATTAAATTATGATTTTAAAAAAATTTATATATTATTTCGCTTATACTCCAATCGTATAATTATTATTGGTGTTTTTGCAACAAAAAATTAAATAAAAACACAAATATTTGTAAAAATCAATTGTCAAATTATCAAGCATTTTTGGATTGCAAATTTAAAAGACACAAAGGGACACAATACAAAATTTAATATTTGTAAAAAAATGATTTTAAAATAGTTAAATAAAATGGGTAATTAAAAACGAAAAATGACCGGTAAAAATGGATGGAGGGAGTATTAAGATAACCCTAAATTAATTATGATTGATTGCGTGTTACATTATTAGATAAAGATTCATTAGAATCAATCAAATCTCCAATCATAAATGCACAGATTGCTTATAAAGATAACACTCATTTAAAATTCACTGAATAATTCAATCCACTAGCTCTTTGTTTAAAAATAGATATTTATGACAGAGGGAATTGTTTCCTTTTTTTACACTTGAGTTTAAATTTTGTTATGTATACCTGTTATTTCTACAGTGTTTTAAATACTGGACTTGTAAAATATTTAATTAATTGTAAGATTAATTATGGTACGTATAAATTGATCCGGATACCTATACAAATTAAAAAAAAATAAATGTTTATATATCGATTCAAACAAAAATAAATAAATTGAAACTATATAATAGTAAAAAAATTAAAATAAAGGAAAATAAGAAATTGATGTCATATTAATTGATTTATTCATTATTTACAAATTAGAAACTATATAATAGTAAAAAAGTTATCAATTGTGTGTTTAAAGCAATCATTATTTCCAGCTGCCAATCAACATTTCCTAGACACATTTGAGCAGCTGGTGGAGTACATTCATAAAATGAATGGCTTGCTTGATATCTCCTTAATTAATTATTGCACTCTATTATTTTCTTTCTATTTTCTTATTATTTAGTTTTTACACATCGAAATTAAATTGAGAGATGGAAATGGGGCGTGTTTGGAACTGTTCCATCAAGCTCAGGGGGTTTTGTATTTACTATTAATATGCTGATGATTAAAAGTTTTTATAATAATATTATTTATTGTTTTATGAATAATTATATATTGTGCTAGTATGCAAAGAATTTAAAATAGTTTGTAGTTGCCCCACTCCTCGTCTCATATCCGCCTCGGGTAGGATTTAACGAGGGCCTCTCAGGACAGGAAAGTTTGCTATCCATGTTATGAAAGTGAAAACATACAAGCCAAGCATTTACAATTATTTGTTTCATGAAAAATGTTTTTTTTTAAATTAATTTATATTTATTTTTTATTAAAAAAATTGATTAAAAAAATATTTCAAAAAAAATAGTTTGGTTTTAAAAAAAAAGTATTTTCTTTTTATTTTAGATGAAAAATAATTTTCAGAAGTTGTAAAAAATTTAGAAGTATCATTTTATTTGTTAATTTTATCAAATTTGATTATCAGATTTTTTATTGTTATGTATTTTGTTTTGATTTTTTTCAACTTCTTCCCCTAAAATTTAATTTAATTTGATTTTTATAATAACTTTGCTTCTTATTTTTTTTTTTTTTCTCTTATCATTTATTAAAAAAAATTATCTATCATATTTAATTCTTATTTTTTTATTTGAAATAATTTATGAAATTTTTTTTAGTTTCATCTTTTAATTTTCATTATTTTAATAAATTTGAAAAAAAATATTAATAATTTATTTTTCAACTTATTTTTATGACATGGTCAAATATAAAAAGTATTTTTCAATTTATTTTCTATAATACTATCAAATATTAAAAAATAATTTACTTTTAAATAATTATTTAAAAAATCACCTTTCAATAAACACATATCGTTATTCTTTCCTGGCTTCAGTTTCAGTGCACATTCAGCATTTCTAATATGAACATTTCTAATATGAACATCACATCACTAAGTTGGAACTATCTATCTCACATTTCTAATATGAACATCAAAATACTTGGAGTAATTTTCTGTCAATTTTACTTTACAATGGGGATGCGGGATCTTTGGGAGGCCAACTTTTCTTGGCATTCAATCAACTTATAATTTGTTTAAGGGTATTTAGTGATTTCGAAGTAAACTTCCGAATCAAGACCACACAGAAAAAGCAAAGCTTCCATATTCATTTTCCTGTAGTCAACTCTCACACAAAATTTCTCTATAAAACCCCATCAATGAGATCTTCTTCTAACCAACCTTGTTTCACATTACTAGCCATGAAGTTGCTAAAACTCTTCTTTGCTCTATCTGCAACCATAGCTACTGTTGCAGTTCTGCATTCAGATCATTACAGCGAAAACTCAAACATGCAAAGTCAACTCTCATTGCGTGAAATTCAAGAAGCTGTAACTTCTTTACGAGGGGTTGGCCGCGTTCTTGCCCAGCAGAACCTGGTAGCCAATTCGACATGCAATGAATTGCCTCGCATTTGTCGACTGAAGAGAAGTCCAGGGCCAGATTGCTGCAATAAGAAATGCGTCGACGTTAAGACAGATCGCTTCAACTGTGGAATGTGTGGCTACAAGTGCAAGTACACTGAAACATGCTGCAAAGGAACGTGTGTGAACCCATCATTTGATAAAAGACATTGTGGTGGATGCAACAAGAAGTGCAAGAACGGGGAATTTTGTGTTTATGGGATGTGTAGCTATGCATGAATGCGTCACAAACTGTGTAATTCTCTGATACAGAGTATATTTCCTTTCATGTTTCTGCGAGACTGACTCTCTTTCTCTAAGGAACACCATGGTTCTGTTGGCTTAATTTATATTTCATACCATCAAATTGTGATAGTGCTTGTGATTTTACTAATCGAAGCGTAAATACGGAGAATTGCCAAAAGCATCACCTTGGAAATCTCATACTTAGGATCAAACAATATGAATATAACCAGCATGTATATATGTCTCGTTATTTGTATTTACTAGCTTTAATTATTTACTTAACAATTTATATTCTTAACATTAAGTACTCCTGCTGTTTTGGACAAAACGAAATTTGTATTCGAAATCAATTACTTTTTGCAGAAAATGTAAGAAAAGACGATCTGTCAACACTTCAAAATATATGTACTCTCACGTATTTCGTTGCCTTTCTACTTTGATAGTGTGGGACGCAATTAAAACTGAGTTTATCAAATATTTGAATTTTTTTATTTAAAATTAATTTGTTTATATTTTTGAATTACTTTTATGTATATGTTAATATACAAATAATTTAAAAAATAAAATAAATAAAATATTATTTTAATATATTTATAAATTGAAATCATTTTAAAAAGTAATTACTGTCATACTCAATATATGTGGGTGAAATTGTCAACCTAATTAAAATAAATAAATAGAAAATTCATACTCAATGAATAACAAATTAAATTTGCATCTCCTAAGCCTGATCAATGGTTTCGCATGTCAGTATTTGTTTAAACTGTGGTTAATGTCACTTAAGCCCTAAAGCTGCCATAATTTATTCAATTTAATTTATGTGATGATATTCTAGTTTTATAATTTGGATTATAAGTTTGATATATTAATTAAAATTATTTTTTGATTTATTTTCTATATTGTTATCTCGATCTCGTAACTTTGATAATGAATTTGATAGGTTTACTCATGTTATTTTTTTGTATTTTTTTAAATGAATTTCTTTCAACTCCATCCTTCAACATTGATCAACATTGAGTTAATTATGAATTAAATTTTATAATTTATTTTAATTTATTTTTTAAAGGATTATTTTGGTTTTATAATATAGGTCGTGGATTTGACAAGTTATCTTGGGTTAATTTGAGTTTTTTTTTAATTTTTTTATATAATTTTATTCTTTAGCATTAAGTTGATTAGGATTAGACTTCATAATTTATTTTAATTTAATTTAGATGGAGTTATCATAGTCTTATTATCAAAGTCACAAATTTAAAAAGTTGACCAAATCAATTTAATATGTAGTTGTGTGAATATTTTAAAAAAAAATATCGACTTGAATTTTATTTTTTTTAGTCATTTACATTTTCACTAATTATTTAAATTATTTTTAGATCTGTAAGTTGGCTGGTCATGTTTAGTCCACTCCCATATAATTTAGTTTTTCTTTACTAGAGAAATAATTGTTAAGTGTGGGTGTTTCTTTTAACATTAAAAAAAATAGAGAATAAAATAAAATTAGGATATAGCATATTGCATCAGACCTTATACTTGTTTTTTAATGGTAAAAGATGTTTTTGAATTAATTTATGCATTAAGTATGATTAAGTTTCATATATGAATGATCTTAAATTATATCTTTTATGTTGGTTTGATATATTAAAAACAAAAATTCTTCTAATTAAAAAAAAATTACATTCTTAACTATAAAATCAACTCCACACTTGAGTAGTCAGGACCTAGATGTTCGACCTAGTTGTTCAATGAAATGGTATTATATTCAAACCCAAAACTATGGGCGCAATATAGTAATGTACCATGTAGATACAGAATGCTTGAAATAGTACTAAAAAATGCTTGGAAGAACTTGCTGTCAAGTTTACTTTACAATAATTGGGATACAGAATCAATAGGAGGCCAACTTTTCTTCACATTTAATCAACTTATTTCTTTAAATTTTTAAGGTATTTAGTGATTTCTAAGTAATCTCCTGGATCAAAGATCACACAGAAAAAGTTGGCTGCAAATTCATTTTCCTATAGGCAGCTTTCACACAAATTTATCCATAAGGCTCCATCAGTAAGATTTTCTTCCACTAACCTGGCTTCATTTTAGTGGCCATGAAGTTGCTAAAACTCCTTTTGCTCTATCTGCAACCATAGCTACTGTTGCAGTTCTGCATTCAGATCATTACAGCGAAAACTCAAACATGCAAAGTCAACTCTCATTGCGTGAAATTCAAGAAGCTGTAACTTCTTTACGAGGGGTTGGCCGCGTTCTTGCCCAGCAGAACACGATAGC